CTTTTTTTTTTTTTTTTTTGCAAAAAAACTACTAAGATGGCGACTAGTGAGTTTTAAGCACTGTCCATTTGGATGTTGCTGCTGGTTGAGTTTCTTGGATTTGCGCCGAAGGGGCTTGCGGAGAAACTAGTTTGAGTCTGGCCAGCGCCAAACGTGAACTCGTGAGAAGGTAAGTCTATGTTGGGGGCGGAGAAGATAGATGTTGCACCAATGGTGTTGAATGGAGTTGTGGGAACTGGGTCGCAGGTCTTTGGGAAGCCGAAGCTAAAAGAAGGCAGACCAACAGGAGGGAAGATTGGTAAGGTTGGGAGGGCGTTTTCGGTTGATCCAAAAACCTTCTGCTCATACTCTTGCAGCTGCTGATAGATAGCTATTTTCACAGACCAAAAGATAGGTCAGAGTACATTATTTGAAGATGAAAACATTCCCTAATCGACTAGAAGACGTTAAAATGCAATAAGAAAAAGGCATCATCGAGTAGATTGTAGCGATCGAACAAAGTTGAATGAAATGGAAAATAATCAGAACAAACAAGTTATTTGACCAAAAGATGGATACTGCAAAGCAGATGCAGTGCAGGCCTCTGTTTCCAGTCCATTTGGTAAAAGAAATATAACAAATGTGCACTTCATGGTAAGTAGTAGGGGTAAAGGCATGTCTTATGGCAGCTCGTGATCCACAAAAAGCACATTCAACTTAATAATTCAGAGATTAAGGGCGAATTAAACGACTAAGCAAAGCGATATTTTCTAGAAAAGCAGACGAGGAACTTCAGGATAATGTGTGAAATACATACGCTCAGTTAAGTCAACAGATGGCCTCCGCTCTTTCACCCACTGGTAACTCTGAGCAAGTCTCCATCCTTTGCATTTCATCAAGAACGCGATTACAATAGCTGGAGACCTATGATCAATAAGTTTAATCTATTAGCAAGGATATTATGTAGCCATTTCATTCGTTGGTCCCATGTCGACCGGGTACATAAATAGTTTCAGAGTTCCAGTTTTATCAATGAATAGGGGAGAGAACCTGTTTTTTCCCGACATGCAGTGCACCAAAACACGAGCCTTATCTCGTTCACATTGATCTGAAAATCATAAGCAACACCGGGCATGTTACACTTCTCTCAGTGAATGACAGAAAGCTAGTCATGGTCTTAACCGAAAGCCATTCATTCAGCAGATAGTAATCTTATTTAGCATTAAAGTAATAACAGTGCATCGATCTTTTTATACGAAAGTCGGCATTTAAAAATGAAAAACATAGCAAGACATGGACTAACCTAACAAATGAATTAGCAGATACAGTTCATTTCGGAGAAGATAAAGAAAAGGCACCTAGAAATTCAACAGCGTCATCAAATGGTAACGTCTTGTCGTATTGGAGGCAGTGATAAGTGAAGGAGTTCTTGTAGAGATTTTGACAAGCAGGCACAGTCTGCAAACATAGGGCGGAGAAAACCAATTGTTCAGCACCTAATCCATTTCAATGGCAAGTGATAGCAACATACAATACTCTGCATAAGTAACAACTGTGAAATGTTCTACGATGAAACTGCATTTTAGTACGATCACCAGCACGGTCAAACTCATTTATATCCATATCCATAGGATCTTAGGGCTGATAACGTGACATCGTTAGTTATCGAAAATGCATAATTGATTAGCATAATAACTCAATCCCTCCATTTGAGGCCTCTTAAAGGCGAGCAATCCTACATTTCAACACATTGACATGCATATAAAAGCTTCTTCATCAGCATCGCACAGTCGAACTTTAGTCGAAATAAAATTATGCCTACCGAAGAAGTAGGAACTGTTCCATCACAACAGAATCAATACCATGAACAAAAGAACCTACACCATGATGCTGTAAAAGAGAAGAAAAAAACGAACCACAACCCCACTTTGCAGACAAAATCCTTAACTTCAAAGGTCAACTGCCCCATTATGATCCAATTAGGCAACAATAACAAGTAACTTAATGGATGATTTTCGCCCCCAAAATCTTAAACCAGGCAGAGTTTTGTAGATAAAATGCATACCCGTAGTGGAAATAGGACAGATATTAATTAAACATTCAGATTAAGGAACAATCAAAAGCATTTATATCCATCAGCTGAAGCAACAGTAGCAACCTAAAGTGAACATCAAAATTGACAGTACTCGATTCAGAAGGGGGAATAAAATCTGAAGACACAGAGAAGGAAGAAATTGAACATACGTTAAGAACGCGAGAAATTCCTTGAGTCTTCAAAAGTTCAGACCGTGAAGCGTTGTCATAACTTCCCAAATAGAGAAACTCTGGCAAGATCTCTGAAGGAAACGCACTAACTTGCAAGGAAGTTTTCTCGGATGTAGCGGGAACACGATGACCACATATCCCACAGACTTCCCCTTCTTCGTATTTGTGATAGTGGCCACAAACTCCACAAGGGTTCTCTCTTTCCCTCTTCCTCATAGCCAAAAACCGCGATTCAGCTCTGACCCAGATGAGAAAACCTTCTAAATCACCAAAAAAACGAAACAAAACAAAAGAAAGAAACACAGGCGATGAAACAGAAACCCCCCAAATTAGAACGCAATCAGAATCGGAGTAAACAAAAAGGGAATTATTAAGCCAGAAACTACCAATTCCCACCTAGATAAAAACAAAATAAAGCGCTTCAACGATGGAAAAAGAAAAGCGCTGCCGCAGGGAGCAGAGAGAGAGAGAGAGAGAGAGAGAGAGAGGCGCCGATGCAGAAGGGCGTTACCACGAAGCTTCTTTGATTAGATTGCGTGAGGAGGAGTTTTTGAATTTGGCTGTGGTGCCTGTGCTCTCTGGTGCCTGACAACGAAAAGCCAAAGGGGATCAACAGCTAGTATATATGAATCGCCAGATACAGACGCATGACATCACAAATCGCAGGGTTTCTCCAAGATTCCCCAGATGGGTTGGGTTGGACATGTGATGAGTCCATAAAAACATTTTTTTCCCCCTTTTCACTGTCCGTAAGATCCATAACCTTAATAAACATTATTATTTCAAGGATTCAATTGATTTCACCACCCCCTCATGCTGATCTCAACATAATACTCATTTATCAAAGCTTGGATTTGCGTAATTAGCAACAAAAATATCTTCTTTTCTTATCCAACCTTACGTTACTAGTAATGAGTTACCAATCATATTTCTCCACGTCAATGGGTCCCCCCCGTATCCAGTGCAGTCACTCTTTTCTCAAACGTAATTTCTACGCCTTCATTGATTGTTCTTTCTTGGCTTCGGTGTTCATTTTTGACAAAATTTTTGGGGGCTTTTCTAGTTTAATCCAAAACGTATAATCGAGTGCTTTCTTTTTAGTTCTTAAGAAACACTCCTCGAATAGTTTTTTACGGTCTTTTTTCACAACGAAAAGGAGTGGTTGGGGTTAAGGAAGCCTTTACTTTACGTCAATCAAACTCCAAATGAAGCCAAGATATTATCGGCTTCTGAGTTTTCATGTGCTCTGGACGTACATTATAAGCCAGAATTTGTAGTATTGTAGAAGACGAGAAATGTTATGGTATTGATCGAAATGATAGGGTGTTGTAAGAACAAAGAAAGTACATCACTCATCACTCATTCTCTGTTTGGATCTATTGTGTGGTTGAAATGAATTTGGGACTATTTTGTCACAGTGATGTCTCCTATCACTTTTATGATATGTTGCAGTGTATTGGTACTGTCCTCAACTGGAATGATGTAAGCTATAGGCTAAGCCTTCACACCACAGAGCCTAAAAAGCTGGGAATTTCCCTCCGTTTCCTGCAAGATAACAACCCATGTTGAGTACAACAACAAGCATAACGAAGGTGTTGTCCAAAGGTTCATGAACGAGCGATGGTTCCTTCCGGTCAATCCAGGAACTAAAGGAGGACCCGACAATGGAGAAAGATATCTTAATTTAGATGGGGGTAGAGAGTGGGACTGTGTGTACTTTGTTGTCTTGGAGGTGCATTAATATGCATGTGCTGTGGTTTGGAGGTGCTTTAAGGCAATGGAGAGAATAAAGGAAGAGAGGTCCTGGCTAACTACATCAATTCTAATACAGATTCTTCATTCTATCTCATTTCTAACTTAGTTTTTGTTTCAGTCCTTTAAATTGTCCTCTTCTCTTCCACATCCACTTGGTCCCATCTTTAGTTTTCATCTGGGAACTCGGTAATGTAATTCATTCAGATGATAGTAGTGGTTCAACTAGAGAGAAAACCCTGCTCCAGGGGGACTACCAAGTGTGTAAGTGGGTCATTCCGGTTCGGTTTATGGCTAAGATCGACCTATCGTTTAAGAAAAATCGACACTAAGACCACTGCTGCAAGACAAAAACTGATCATAACCAACGACCAAAACCGAACTGACTGAAATGGAGAAAGTCTATTGATATCCAATCAATCAATCAAATAAAAATTTGGACCTTACATTATACAAAACCAAACTAACCAACATGTATAGCTTAAACTGCACCTCTATTGATTGAGTTATAGCTTCAAACATGTGTCAGAATGCCTATTAATAAGGCAAAATATAGTTTTTGCTAAGGGGATAAGGCTAAAGAAAACAAGAATCAATTTACAGAGAAATAATTACCTATGTTCCAGTCTCTGCTTTGATGCTAAATATAATTACACTTTGTTCCCAAGAATCCCATAGCCTACATTAATACACTGACTTGAAACCTTCAGTGAGAGGAACGACTTTAGCCGTCACCTTGGACTGCAACTTTGATACCGCTTTGCGGATGTCCTGCAATTCAAAAAGCATTTATTCGTCTGTAATTGCTGACACATATGAGCTGTTACTTTTAGGACGCAGGTCAAAGATTAAAAGCAATTTTGGATTAGCTATTAATGATCTTTAAAGGCAGATGAGTAGGTTTCAACTATGACTTCTTCAGAGCTGAAGTGGAAACTGATTATGCAGCTAATCAAAGAAATAAGCATATAAGGTCGACGTGGGCGTGCCTAACAGAGAGTGCATACAAGAAATCAGGCACGAAGCCCAAAGTTGTGATGTGAACCAATGCATGTTAGATGATCTGACTCATAACAGAGGGTGTTGCTCTATTATTGAGGAGGAGCTCTTGAGTCTTGAACCCTCCTTTTCGCATTAAAGGAAGAATTTTGTGACATGCTTGTTTCGTCATTCTGTGAGGCATTTGGCTTGAGATAAATAGTAGGATCTTTAGAGGATGAGGAGCTTTGGAAGTTGCTTAGATTTAACTCTTCTTTATGAGCGTCTGTTAATCAGGCTTTCTATAATTACCAGCAATGATTTCATGCTTTTGGATTAGTCTATTATTGTAAGAAGTTTAAGGGTTTTTGTTGGTGGGCTAGTAAGATCATGATCATTTCTTGTAAGGGTGTGGAAATCTGTAACGACCCAAGCCCACCGTTAGCAGATATTGTCCTCTTTGGGCTTTTCCTTATGGGCTTCCCCTCAAAACTTTAAAACGCGTCTGTTAGGGGAAGGTTTCCACCTTCCCATAGCAGACGCGTTTTAAAGCCTTGAGGGGTAGCCCGAAAGGGAAAGCTCAAAGAGGACAATATCAGATAGCGGTGGATCTGGGGCGTTACAAAACTCTTCCTAGTAGACGCATAACAACGATACGTAACGGGCTAAAGCGGACAATACCCGGTGGGTTTAGGCTGTTACAGTCCTTGTACATTCTTTCATTTCTCTTAATGAAAACTAAACTTCGTATTATTTATTAAGAGAAAAGAAAAAAGGCACACTGCACGTCAGAGACTTGTCATCACGAGTGCAGCTAAAAAAGAACTTCATTGAAATAACTTTCACCTCTATATGGTATCGGGATGAAAAATGCGTAAGCAGAATAGCTTTATTTCGAATCCACTGTGCATTTTCAATGATCTGCAATTTTGTGAAATCATAGAGTCAATAATTGTATCAATAATGATGATTCAACCATGGGATGAAGATACATTGAACAGACATTAGAACTAAAGTTAGGAAGGATTAATATTCTACCCCGAACCCTCATCATAAAAACGAGATGAATTTCGTAAAGGACAATAAATGTTCAAATATGTAATCAACAAAAAGGACAGCTCATCACATAAGAGACGACAACCAATGCTTCAAATACCTCAAATATGTGAGTATGACCATGTTCCCTTGCATGTTCTATGCTGACTCCTTCATCCAGAAAAGTTGCCTGTTTTCAAGAGGATTTATCAGTAAGATGCAAACTTTAACAGACAAGAGGTTTAAAGCAAGAACACAACACCAAACATTAATACCATTTGCAATTCTTTTCCATCAAATTGATTACAGAAAAATATTTCTGGCCAAGGAGGAAGAGTAGCTCGAAGCATGATCCGGATAGGGTGGAGGTCAAAATTAAAGTCATTCAAAATATTAGGAGAATCAATCAAAAAGATCGAAGTCCTTCCAACTATAAGCTAGGAATAGGAAATTCAAGGTGATGCTTCAGAAAGGTTAGAACAATGAGATAGACTTCGTTTTGATATGCCAATTATATTGATTGAGGAACAGAATAGTTCGTATACTTTTGAAAGACTGAGCTACTAGTTAACTTTCCCTCCTTCCCTTTCTATCTTTAATAATAACTGTATTACAAAAAGCGACCCATGTCACACACACAGCCATGGCACCATTGACATATGATGAACCCATGCATCACATGATTAGCCTGTCGCTTATGCCATGTAACTTTCTCCTGGAGTAAGTAAACAGTGGAGGGATTTTTTTCTTAACATTTAGTCTATGGCTTAAGCCACCCTAGAGAACAAAGTATGTTTTCAGGTAAATAACAGTAGGCCTTATAGCAATGGATATTATCATCATTGAGGAATGGAATGTGAAGTGTAGGTTTGCTAGAAGTACATTAGGGACCATTGGCTGTACACAGAGGAATAAGGTGGCAAGGAATTAAGTTAGGCGATTACGTCCCTATTTCAGGCTTAGGTTTGCAATCTCCTTACTATTGGGTTGCTGTCATGTTGTAACAAATAGTCAGATTATGAAGAGAATCCCCAAATATATCTTGAGAAAGAAAAGCCGATAAAAGCATAACGAACATGTAACGGCCTAGATCCACCGCTAGTAGATATTTTCTTCTTTGGGCTTTCCCTTTCGGGCTTCCCCTCAAGGCTTTAAAACGGGTTTCCTAGGGGAAGGTTTCCACACCCTTATAAATAGTGGTTTGTTCTCCTCCCCAACCAATGTGGGACATCACAGAACATTTGGAGGCATGGCAATTGCTGGAACAACGCATTTCTCCCCGGAAATTAGAATAGAGTATTGATCACAATTTGATAAGAAGCTCTATCCAAGAAGAGAGAAAAAGTTGAACCGGAGTTTCACAGTTTATACCTCGGTTATTAGAATTTTCGCCCTCAAAGCATCGGCATTACGTGGATCAAGCATAAAATCTGTCCTTGTATCTCCTGTGAAGGCCACCTCCGGGGACAATATGGTGTCTGTAATCTGAAACAAAAAACTCGAAATCAAACCAGTGCCAAATATGGAAAGACTAAATGATGGAACCAACTATTTGTGCAAGACATGCCTCGACGCCAGATTTCTTTAGCTTCTCGATCTGTTTCCCCTTAAGATGCATGTATTGCTTCTTCAATTTTTTTCTAACCGAATAAATGACATAACCCTGCATACAATGTGAAGTATTTAATCATATGTTCTACTGATGTAACTATTTGAGACATGCTTCAATATCGAAAATAAAATGATCAATATCAAACCCGAACCCATCTCATAGTCCTCGTTTCTCAATTTTTGGAAACGGATAAAATCTACTATCCTAAAAGTAGGTGATCGATCACTACTCGCATTCTGCCCTCAATAAAAAGACAGCTACTTCTCGAGTCAAAAGAACGTGGAAACGCAAACAGGGTCCTCACTACAACTGTAAAACCAAAAATACGCAGGCACAAGGATTTGCTACCCAAGTATTCGATCTTAAGAAAATAATCGGCTATAAGAAATAAGATTCCACATATTAATCCACATACAATGATTCATTCCCATTCATGAAAAACCTGTC